AAGGCAGTAGCCTCCAGCAAATTTCAGGATGGAAGCGAAACCAAAGAATGTGGCCATCGGCACATCCATTGCACGGTACGATAAGATGCAGATGCCAATCTGGTAGATGCCAGCGGCCCACAGCCAGGGCACCTGACCGATAAAGAGTTTGCCAGTGACACCCAGGAGCCTACAGCCAAAGACGCTGGCAGAGAGCATGTTCAGGATCAGCCCGGCGGCTGCAAAACGATTCACGCTGCCACCGGTGGACTGGATCTGTTCGCGGGTTTTTTTCTTGGCCAGATCTGTGCCAGGGAGGGCGATTTTCTCTTTGGTTAGGAAATAGAGAATCCTTCCCAGAGCAAAATAACCACCGACCAAGCAGACAATCATGTAATTGCAAGCCACGGCCGAGGAAACAAAAGCTGTGCTATAACGCATGGCAACTTCGTGAGCACTGGCAAGTGAGACGGCAGAAGCAATCATAGCTAGGATGACCTCTCTGCGAAGGAAGCCCACCACTGCAATAATGAGTAGGGCCAAAGTAAATGTGACCAGGCCAGGCACCAAGGCATTGCGGGAATCACCAGTGTCATTCAAAACTCCTTGCCCTCCCAGGATGCAGATCACTCCATAGCCGCACCAGAACACTGAGATGGTCAGGCAGAGAGACAAGAACAGGGAGGCATTTCTCAGGCTCCTCCGAATTCCTGCAAAACAAACGACACCGGAGACAGAACCATGATTTTGAGACGGTATGGGAAGTGCTAGGGAGGACAGGCAGCTGTGCTATTGGCACACGGTGTGCTGGAAGCATGATCCACGCTAGCATGGAGCTGCACAGGTCCTGCGGGATGCTAGGCAGAGCTAGCACAAGTTTGGGCAGGTCTGCACCATGCCCCATGACACTGGGTGGACATGTCTGTAAAGATTCCATCAGCCCAAGGCTTTGTGCTCATCAGAAGGCCTGAGGCGAGCTCAAAGTGCTCGAGTTCCTTCAGGTAAGTACTGCACCAGGCCTGGCACACAGTCTGCCCTGATGAAGCTGAGGTTCAGCAAGCCGTTGTCTTATCGTCCTCACAACGGCTCAATAACAAGACCATAATATATTAGTGCTAAACAAGTCCTGACACCTCTTTCTTTTGGGTTGCCTGGTGGTTGGTTTTTCTTCCGCTGTAAGCTGTGAGGTCCAACGTGTGAACCACAAATGTCATACAACCTGCTGGCCTTTCCAGAAGCACAGGAATTGCAAAACTCATTCCTCCTCGAGAACTCTCCTGTTCGGTATCCTCATCCCCAAAATGACAAAGAGCTTGATTTAAAATACTTCAAGTTGAATGGAACCCACCTACTACCCCCAAACAATATCACTAAGTACCTTATTTTTTCTGCTGTGAGGATGCTGATCAGCACGGATAGACCTTAAAGCTCCCTTCCAAGCTGGAGCTTCGTAACAGACCCATGAGTCCTCAAACTGACACTTTGTGAGCCAGCCTCGAGTGGGGAAGGGAAACAAGAGCTCTGCTGAACGAGCGCCCAAGCTGCAGAGGACTGTAATCACGCAGGTATGCAGCTCTCTGAACAAGTGAGCACAGAAATTCCTGCCTTGGTAGGAGGTTGTTGATTCCCAACTGCGAAACATCATCTGCCCAGAGGTCCATTCCATGCGGTCCCATCCATACAGCTGCTTCTGAGTGCCTTCTATTAGTGCTTTGTGCCACCGCTGACTGAGAGAGGAGGTGGACTTATGTTTTATGGGGTATAATATGCAGTGTCTCTCCCAAGCTGTCTGCTTTGTAGAGGAAAAAATACCGGCATCCAATCTTGGATTTTCATGTCCTCATCACTCCGAGTTATAAACTGTGGACTGTGCCATAGCCAGTGATTTTTTTCTCTCAGATAAGCACATCCCTTGGCATTTACACATCGATGTGCCATTTCAACCCACGGATGCCTATAGTACTCTCAGAAAGCCTGGGAACCATTTTTAGAGAAATCATGTATTCAGTCTGTTAAAACTCTCAGAGATCCTGGTAAAGCACTTGTTCAAAACTAACATTGAGTTCTTCGGTTGCCTATGTAGGAAAAAATTTCTGTGCTGACATACTCTTGTAGGAGAAAGAATCAGTGGTCTGGCAAGGCTGCCACGTTTGTACAAACCTGTTAGCAAATACAAGCAAAGCTGCAGAGGGGGGAGGCCTTGAAGCTGGCCACCCTCCGAGTCTTACCTGCATACGCCAGGAGAGAGGATAAGATCAACAGAAGGACTCCTAGAGCTGTGCTGGGGATCAGAGGGGCTGCTCTGGGTAAACTGTAGAAATGCACTGCCAGTAAGAGGGATCCTATGGGTGACAAGGGAGGTGGAAACAAAGAAAGAGCTTGTAAACTTTGCCCAAAACTCCAGGAGAGAACCAGAGAGCCAAGAGCAGAGAACAGGGAAAAAAATAACAGCACAACATCTGCAAACAATAAGGAGCCGGAGGGGTGTTGTAACTTGGTTTGCGTCCAAGGTCTCACCTCTTTCTGGGTGCCTAGTTTTAAGAAACTTGAACTTAATCCTGTTTGAAAGTGCTCCCCTGTTGTCAGATAAAGGTAAAAACGAGCTCTCTGGTTCCAGTTACACAAAAGGCAGACAGCCACACGCACACTCTACAGACAAGCCTGTGGCTACAGAAAACCAGCCTGGAAACGAGAAGGGGCAGGACTCAGAGAGGTGAAACGCAAAGAAGGAGCAAGCAAAAGGGAGTGAGCACTGAAAACAGAGCTACAGGGAAAACGGCTAGAAAGGGAAAAAAAGAGAGGAAAGCGCACCCAAACAAAGATCGTCGGTGAAAATGACTACCAAAACGTTTTGATTTGCTTCCCACCCAGGACGGATCTCGTACAAAAGCCCAGGCCAGCACTTCAAAGCCAAGACAAATATTTCGTCGGCTGCTGAAACAAGCACAGGGATCGCTGGATCTAAAAGCTTTACCCAGGCAGAGAAGATTCAGAAGAAACAAGACTCCTCAGCCCCCTTTGAAGAGGAGGTTGGCCATGAAAGCTAGTCCCAACCCCGTCTTCCCATGCCAAGAAGACTCGGTCCCTACCTGCGGAAATGCCCAAGAGGGCTATGGAGGAATGCAGTGACTCAGCTTTCCTGCCTGCCATCGCAGAGTCCGCTGCAGCCCCAGCTGCGGGCTGAAATGCTGCCTCTCTTTCCTCCCTAGCTCTTTATAACCAAACCAACTCCACTGGCCCGCGTTCCTCCCTGCTCTCCACCCCTTTTC